CTAACCTGAATGTTGCCACACTTTGGTAGAAACTACATTTACTCAATTACATTTACGTGAAAAAATGTACTTTGAGGAGTATTTTTACTATGCTGTACTTTTTATTTTTACTTGAGTAATTTTATTCTGAAGTATTTCTATTCATACTTGAGTAAAATTTCTGGATTTTCTACCCACTGAGTGAAAAACATGTTTTAGCCAAAAATCCACCAAACTCAGACACACACCTGCAGTTTTTGTTAAAGTTTCATCAGTTTTATTTATAAAGAAACTGATTAGGAAACATTTTCTTTTATTTGTTGTTATTTATATAAATGATATAAGCATAATTTATTTTCGTCCCCAAAATACAGAAATTCCCACATAACTTTATATATTGTTCTGATTGTCATTTTTAAATACGAAATGGTTGATAATTTAATTAGTTACTCAGAACTTGAGTTGACTTTATACCAAATATGGATTTCCTCTTGAGTAACTTCTTGGATGGCTACTCTTTGCTCTTACTTGAGAATAATTTTTGGTGCTCTGTCCTCCACAGGGTATGGCCAAAGTGACAGAAATGATGGCCAAAGTAACAAAAATTATGGTCAAAGTAACAGAAATGATGGCCAAAGTAACAGAAATGATGGTCAAAGTAACAGAAATGATGGCCACAGTGACAGAAATGATGGCCAAAGTGACAGAAATGATGGCCAAAGTAACAGAAATGATGGCCAAAGTAACAGAAATGATGGCCAAAGTAACAGATGGTCAAAGTAACAGAAATGATGGCCAAAGTGATAGAAATGATGGTCAAAGTAACAGAAATGATGGCCAAAGTAACAGAAATGATGGCCAAAGTAACAGAAATGATGGTCAAAGTAACAGAAATGATGGTCAAAGTGACCGAGGTGTCAGGCTGGTTTGTGTCATCGCCTCTGAAGGGAGACGTGGGCAGAGTGGGATCAATTTGCAGCCCTCCCTCCCTGCTGCTTTTCAAGGCTTCCTGGAAAGCAGCGTAATTTCATCGGGGTCAGGGTGCAGACCCGGCTGCTCCCCGAAATATTCCAGAAGAGGAAAATTACCACGCCGGAGCAAACAACATTCCCAAACAACAGGCCATGAGAGCAGCTTTGTGCGCCCGCCCCGCCTCCAGCCACGGCTCAGAGAAAATCGACTTTGTGGCGCTTATGATCGTCTCTCTCTTTGTTTCTGTTTCTCTGCGACGCCCTTTGTTTTTGTGAATCCTCTGTGACACAATGGAGGCTTAGCACAAAGAGCATGAATTTTGTCACATAAATCCAAGCTGTGTGTCATAAGGCACCATCGCCAGCAGGCACAGACAGATTTAATCAAACACAGCGGATGATTAACGAGGTTTAAATTAGGGAAATCAAACACTGTGGCAAACTGGAGCAGGTTTTGTTTTTTAATTTATGATTAATCAAGCAGGTCAAAGTTTAGAAAACAATCTTTATTTACTTCAGATGAATGAACTGAACCTTTAAAATAGACTTTAACTTACTTTACTGTCATTGCACAAAAACAAAACAGTGAATTTGGCAACAAAATGTCAGAAAAAATACTGAAAAACTATAAATGTGACGATAAAAGTATTAAAAACATGTTGATATTAAAAGTAATAGATCTTTATTTCTCTGCTTAAACATTAAAATTTACTATTATACTGTAAATTTAGGGTTGGAACAAAATTATTTTGGTCATCGATTCCAACAAAAAATCAATTGGATAAATAATTGGCACATGCTGCAGATTTTTCATTTATCATGTTAAGCCTTTTTAAACAACATTAAAATACCTTTTTTAAAATAAGAAAACATTTTTCTTATTGCCTATAACAGTAAAAAGCATTCATTTAGTGTATATTTTATTTGTAGCAAAGGAAAAAATACTTTAAAAATACTTTTAACACCAACATGTGAAAAGCAAAGTCCTTTTCTGCTTGACTTAAAACCATTATAATGTAAAATTGATCTGTTTTTCAATTAACTGATTGATAGTTGGATGGAAAAAGGTGCTAATATGAAATTTCTTTCTTTTTCTCATGAATTTGGACCAGATAAAGCTAAAAGTTTCCCACTTGAGGATTTTTTGGGTAAAATATATTTACAGATGAAGGTTTTTTTATATATTAATAGCAAAATTTATTTGTATTTTTGTACAGTTTTGTATTTTCGTACGGTATGTTGTTATTAGATCAATCACTAATTTGGTTGACAATCATTTCAGTAATCGATTAATCATGATTAATTTGATTAACCGTTTCAACCCCAGGTAAATTATCAGGTGTTTATATCTCAGAATGTGCAGAAAATTAAATTTTGGCTACAATTAAGCCAACAGTGCAGGTGTAACCTGAGGTTTCATGGTTGGTCGATGTGCTGCTCCCCTCTGACTGGTTCAGGCAGCAGCCAGATTTGGTCAGAAGGTGAAAACGTTTTCCTGTGTTTTGGAGACTTGTTTCCCCTCCGGTTCTGAGCAGCGGCACACATGGCTCGGCTGTTTGGCTCGGAGGAAACTGGATCCGGCCAGATCCACAAGACAAAACTGCTAAATGTGACAAAAATTAAAGCCGTGCTGCTGAGGAATGTGTTTTTCTTGGAAAGGGAGCGAGATTAGCACATCGTGTAGCTCCCTCAGAGCAGGAAAAACAATTTCCAGGGATAAGCTGAGGAGACGAGTCGGTTTTGACTGAAATTACCCAATCGTCTTGCTTTTCACGGCAGAAAGAACATTATGTCCCATGAAGGTGATATAAGTCTGAAGTAAACACAGTGGAAGGGGGAAATGGGCGTCAGATGTCCTGGATTATGACGAAACGTATGGAAGGAGGAGGAGCGGCTGGAGGAACTCAGGCAGCTGCTGCAGCGAGTTTCCTCTCTAGGAAATGTTCCCAAAGCTGCAAACTTTCCTCCATATTTACATATTTTAACTTTTTAGCTTCAACTTTGATGTCAGAATTATTTCCTCTGATTTTACTGAAAGCAGTTCCATGAAAAACTCTGAACTTTTTCACTTTTTATCAAGTTGCAACCACAAACTTTATTAGAATCTGGTTTTTAATGAATAAAGATCTGAAAAGTGTGGCGTGCATTTCTGTTTAGATCCAGTCTGATACCCTGAAATAAAAAGTGTAACTGTTTGAAATTACATGTATGTAACTCAATTACAATATAAATACAGACCTTTTAAAAGCCAATTAATACTGATTTTACACACCTCGTCTCTTTTGAGTTGCATTAATGATGTAGACAGAAGACAATCCAAAGTAATCAGCACAAATTCCTGTAAAACTGTCAACTTATAATTATAATTAGTGCATTCAATTCAATTCCAGTCATGTCATTCGCGTCGCAATAATAAAAAATAAAAACAAATTGTGCAAAATTTTAATGAAACAAATTAAAGAGTTTGTACAAAACTCCAAAGACGCAAAATCTTACCAAGTACTTTGTCTAGTTTCTGGTGCAAATACTTTACTAGACGTAAAATATGACATTATACATAGAAATATCTTATTTTAGGCATTACGTGTAGCAATATCTTATTTATAATCTATTAAATAAGATATTTACAATAATAATTGCTATTTAAGATAAACTGCGAGTTCCATTTGCAGATTTTTCCTCTCAAAACAAGGGAAACATTTCTTGCAGCATCCAGAACTAGAGGGAATAATTGTACAAACAAAAGTCAAGAACAAGAAAAACAAATCAGATTTAACAGAGTTTCTCCGACATGATGCCACCATGAGAAATTCATGTCTAGGAAAAGCTTTTCAGACGAAAGGAAAACGAGTCTGTCTGCCAACGGGACAATTTAGATTCCAGTAGAGAAACTAAACGGCTGGTAAAATGAAAAGTGAAAGGGAAAAAAACCCTAAAAGCATCTGAGGGAATTAAAATTAGATTAGCTGTTTATAGGATGGGAAAATGAAAGCACTGCTTTTAAAACATGCAGCTATGCATCTGAGCTGAAGAGACGTTAGTTTCTGTCTTTTCTGGTGTTTAAGGAAAATATCTGGTTAAATGCTACAAGAGCTAAATTATTTTTACTTTATCCTTTACATAAAATATTCAATTAAAATATTTGTGGAGAAAATTAGAGGCTGAAAACTGAAAGGTGGTTCAAATAATCATTTAAACAAGCAAAAATGTTTAAATGTGGGGAAAATTAACGTCTGAATAATTCAAGGTTGTGGGTTTGATTTCACATTTCCTCACCAAATGTTGACGCTTCTTTCTGTAAAAGAAGAAACGTCAGAGTGTGAAGTTTGTTATTAAGGAGTCAAGGTAATACGTAAACATTATTGGCTTCAAGTTTATTCTTGGTAAATTTTATTTTCTGGCATCTTAACTTCTTACTGGTTTTATAAAGATTTGGAAACACATCTGCACTTCATTAGTCCGTACCTTTAGAAAATGGGTCAAAATAAACCACTAAACTTAAATTATTAAAATTATTAACCTAATTTACAAACCCATCTTCTCAACTAAACTGTCTCCAACATAAATCATCCAATAAAGAGCAACTAAATGTTACTTTAAGGAGAACAAACAAAAGAAAACCCTCCATTTGCTTGTACCCAGTGATGTAATCAGTGACATCATCAACCAATTTAAACAGGAAATGCTCAACTGTTACTTCCTGTTCTGGCTGCAAGAGCTACAGAGACAAATAGGATTAATTTAACAAAAATTTACTAAAGAAATATTCACATTTATTTAATGGTTCAGAAGTGTTAGCGTTAGCAACTTAATGCTAACAAGAGCAAACCAGGACAGTAAAGTTACAACAGATGAAGTTTAAGCAAAAGCATCACAGCCAACGATGAACAGATGAAATAAATTAGCAGAATGGAAACATGCCAGTTTAAAAAAACTCATGTTTTTTAATAAAGTTGGTCGTTTTCAAAATGGATGCATTTCACAAAACTGCAACGCAAACACTTTTAATGATTCATACAAGTTACATGATCAACAGCCAGATGTTACTACAGGTGAAAACGACAAAGAAGATGACAGGAAGTGGTTGGAGGATGAAGGTTTGAATTACTTTTTTTCTGACAATATGAGTCTCACAGCATCACTCAGTTCATAAAATGCTTGTTGAATCCAAAGCTGTTCTGTAAAATCACCAAGTATCATTTACCCAAAATGTCTCATATGTAGCTGATGCTAGTGCTAGCATCATGGTTGAAACATGAATATGCCTCATGCACATATTTACATCCGTCTCCGCCATGATTTGTAATTACTTATCACGTCATTTTACCTTAATTTCTTATTTAATAGAAACTTTGCAGTGGAGAAATTCTGTTTTTTCACACAGATGCAATAAAAAAACAATACAAATGCAGCTAATGAGGATGAGTAAAAACTGATTTCACTTCTTCTGGTTCTGTTTCATAACTTTCCTGCAAGTCCCCGCACATGAATCTCTGCAGGTCAACATCATCATCGTCATCGTCTCTCATTTCCTGCAGGTTTCTCTCCTGCATGCAGCGAATGCCTGGATGTGGGCATAAACTGAACACCATAAACATAAATGTTATTCAGAATGTAATTCGACTCCCTCTGTGCAGGACGTGTTACGCCTGAGAGCGCCTCTGTTTGGACAGATCGGATCTGATCAACTGGAGAAATTCCTGGAGAGACAAGTGGGAGCGCCGGGCCTGGTGGAGGCGGCGCAGGTCAGCATACGCTGCAGTAAACGATGCATGATGGAGAGTTCAGACCCACAAATAGTGACGCTATCTGACCAGTTAGAGGTTCTGCATTGAAGAAATGTTGGTTTTCAACCAAAACTTTACATCAAATTTGGATTAAAAGTGAGATGAATGACCTGAGTGAAGATGGCCCCCACCTTCTTCAAATCAGACAAAAATGGTGTTTGTGCTACGTTTGTGCCGCTGTCATTTTAAAGATATTAAGAAATGTTTCCAGAGGTCATGAAAGGTCAACCACCTTCCTCAATCAGACAAAATTGGTGTCCATCAACTCGACTACGTTTGTGCAGCAAAAATCTTTGTGCTGCTTTGGCTTTGAAGATGTTAATGAAAGTTTAAAGGTAATTTTCATTCAGTAAAAGTGGGGTCTGGTTGACCTTTAAACTTTCCTTGGTATCTTCAGCATTTGAAGGGGTGTGCATAAGACTGACATGACGATGTCACAAACATAACAGTAAATAATGACACTTTTCATGCAAAGTTTCTCTAAAAGTCCATTAGAAGTCCATTAAAGGTCAGAACTTTGTACTAAAGTGTCATTTACAAAATAGGAAAAGTTGGCACTTTTAATTACTTTTTAATGATTTACCGAATGACACTCAATGACACAACAGTCATAGATGTTCATAAAGACTCGTTCATGTTCAGGACATGTCAGTCTTATGCACATCCTGAAATAAAGCGTTACCACATCTTCAAAACCAAAACAGCACAAATATTGAAAAACTTCCTTACAAATATTTCTAAATTAACAGATTTTGAAATATCTACTAATGTTTTTTTTTTTTTTTTTGAAATATGAAAAAAACCAAAATCCTGGACGGACTGATCAGTGTGAAAAGATGTTTTTAAGAAACGTGTTGAATGCAGAAACAAACAGGTTATTGATATTTTAACATTGGATTTTATGAACCGGCCCTTTAAGAACATTCAGATTTTTAAAATGAGTTTGATGCTCCTGTTTTAGAAGACATATTTGCAGAATTATAAAATGATAAAATCCTTTGTGGCCTTTTTTCTCTGTGAACGTCTTTAATTTTTCTGCTTCTCACAGTTGAAACTGTCTCAGAGGAGCGTCTGTCCCCGGTTCTGACGTCAGCCTCCATGGGTAAGTAAACAGAGCAATCAGAGGAAGAGTCTCCGTGTAAACAGAGCTGTTGTCACTGTCAATAAGATGCAGATGAAGAACCAAACAACGACGCAGGTCAAGTTTGGAGGACTGGGAAAAGTGTCAGAGAGACCTTTAATTTTCTGCTGCATGTGTGTTGCTCTGAAAGCACGAAAATGGTTTCCTGATCCGTCATGCACCATATGCTCTGCACGTCTTTCTGTTTGATAGCATTTACTGTGCAAAGACAAACTACTTAAATTTAACTCCTGTTAAATATCTTCACTTCAAAAACACAAAATCTGACCAAGTATTTTTGGTCTAAATATAAATAACGCTTGGCACATTTTAAAGTTATTTATTTGTAAATGAAGTTAGCATTTTTGTACTTCTTTGTGCTTGAGTATCACAAACAACCCAATTAAATGTATAAATGTGTTAGCAACATGCTAACTGCTTGCTAAAAACCCAAAACTGCAAAAATACAAAATATTACTAAGGATTTTTTTTGTTCCGTTTCAATAGCAAATATCTTAGCACACCTGAAATGAAATAAAATTAAATTACAAGTAACTTTTCACCTCTTTACATTAATAATTCCTTAATATTGATTTAAAAAGTAGTAGTTTCACTGGCAGATTATTTCACTTACAACAATGTTAAGAGTGAAATAAATTGCCAGCGGAACTAGTACTTTTTAAAACAATATTAAGGAATAATTCATTTAAGTGTGCTAAGATATTTGCTCTAGAAACTACACAAAAAATACTTGGTAATATTTTGTTTTTTGGCAGTTTTGGGTTTTTAGCAAACAGCTAGCACGTTGCTAACACATCTAGACATTTACTTTGGTTTGGTTTGTGATGCAGCAACAGAAAGGAATGCAGAAATGTGAACTTCTTTTACCTATAAAAATATTAAAAGTGTGCTAATCATTATGTATATTCATCTTCCCCATGTCAAAACTTTGCAAAACCCCCTTTTCTCTGCAGTTGGAGCTGCAGCTGTTTTGGGCTAAATAGCATGTTTATAATGAGACGCTGTTTACTTACGTCAGAAACTGACATCATTGTAAAAATGAACAGAAAATCAACTTGTTGTTGCTCCTTTAATCCAACTTTTCCAGCGCTGATCCCAGTGATGCTCGGCTCTGTCCCGTGTCTCTTTAGAGCTTTTATTCCCTGAAGCTTTGTCCAGATTTGGTGGTTTGGATGTTTACTTTTTATTTTTTGGTGTCTTTCTTCTACAACCCTCTAAACTTGTTATTCTGTCAGATTTTACTCGTTAATCTTTCTCTGAGTCTGCCTTTTCACCACAACTTTTTTTTTATTTCTCCTTAAAACAGTTTCCATTGTTTTAAGTGACTTCAGGTGAATAAATGAACAAAATGAAATAGTTTCTGTTCCTAGCTGTGATTAATGGAGCAGTTATATAACTGGATAAATCCTCGGTGATTTCCACCTTGAAGGCTGTTACCTAAGATGTTGACTGATGTGCAAAAGTTGAAAAAACAACTGGGGGAGAGAAAGTAAGTTGTTTAAAAGGCCCTTCTGCTCATCCCCTGAAGTAAAACATTTCATCATCTGTAACCCACATTAAGCTTCTCTGCGGCTCGGCTGAACGTGGTACCCAGAAGGTTTACGCCGTTTTTTTCCTCTGTACATTTTGTTCTGTAACCATCTGAGCAGGAAGTGAAGACACGCTTTGCCAAACTCACCACCTCCTCTGTCTGGTGTGAACCGGTGAGATGACAGCGTTCAGATTTACGACAGCCGTTCGGTTTCATTTCTTCTTGAAACCACGTTGAAGCATCGCAGTTATTTTAAGAATTTTAACTTTGCGGAAAGAAAAACAACATTCACACAAACATGTTTTGTTTTTAGTAAAACCTCTCAGCTAATACTTCTGTCTTTCTCAGGGTCTTCAAATGATACTGTGTTTTTTAAGCTACAAGAACCAAATTTAACAGGAGAAAAGCTTTAAATATATTCAGCTCTGGAAAAGAGCCCATTGAAAACCTGGTTATTCCACCAAGTGTTGATTTCTGAGCTCTTCCTGAATTAAAACATTAATATTGTTGTTTCTAAATTAATATTAGCTTGTTTTCTTTGCATTATTTGAGCTCTGAAAGTGCTGCATCTTATTTGTTATTTTTACCAAATCTCATTTTCTGCACATAAATGTTACAGTTTGGAATTTCACAGACTGTTGTCTACTGACAACAGACATGTTGTCAGTAGTTTATAGAATAAAAGAACAATGTTTTAATTAAAACGCTAAAAATAACTCAGTTTGGATGTAATTTGAATGAGATGGACACACTTTAACCAAAACATCAAGTCTCTTTTCTCCAGTAGAAACATGACTAGTGATCATATTTCCCTCCAGCTGCTGGTTTGTTTATATTTCCAACACTTCAGTCCAGATGTGAAGCCAAAGATGAATCTATGCATCTCTTTCAATCTGGGAAGATCATGTTTCATCTGAAACAAAAATAAAGAGCTTAATCCATGAATATTATAAACATACTGGATTAAAACCTAAAGTCCGACCCAAAGCCTCACAATCCCCCCGAGTTTCCGTTCTTTGCCAAACCGGACAAACTTCTGACGAAAGAGAAATCAAAGATTTAACCCCACTTCCACACAAAGCGACCGATGGGCGTCTCCATTCTGCTGCTTACTGGACCCAAAGGATCCGCTGCCACCATTGTGATGCCCGCTGCCACAGGATATTCCCACATGTTCTGCTACAAGAGTTTAGGAAGCACAAGGAGGATGTAAACAAAACCAGGGAGAAATAACAACTTTTCCTGTAAGCTGGCATCGCCTCCGAGGCTTTCTGTCTCCAAACAGGATTGTTCCTGTCCAGATCTGACTTCAGGGTGTTTCCACACCTGATAGTGCGGTAGAGTCGGGCTGATTGGGAGCCAAAATCACAACATTTGCTACATTTTCATTTGCTGAGGTTCAATTTGACACTTTACTGTGTCACCAAACAATTTGAGAAAGCTGTTCCCCTCCTGACCTTTGTAGCAAGAACCACTGAAGGAAATGACATGAAAACCTCTGTTTTTAGAAACAGACAGCAAACCATTTCTCCTGCTAGAATTAGACTCTCACATTTGTTTCGATTGAATTTACCCAGAATGCCCTGCTCTATACTCCAGTT